ATAGCGTGACGAAATGCGTGGTTTCAATTCGAACGCATTCGGAGTCGAGAGTCGATCATAATTTATCACAAAATGATCCTTGGTAAAAATAATTTAAATGGGGTCAAACCTGACAAATCTCGGTGTTGTCTATGGAACTACTTAGTTAAAAGGAATTGACGAGTCATAGAGCGTGTCAGGTAATAATTCAGGTGTTATTTTAGCTGTTGACTATGCTCTATCCAGATAAGCCACTCGTCTGTCAATGTCAACACATTGCAGTTTTCCCTTGTGTGAATGTGAGCATTAGAGATATGTGGTAACAAGGCATGGCAGGCAGATTAATACTGATGTTTACTATAACCCCAAACTGATAGAAAAATAGGGAACATTTTAAAGGTTTTTACTTAATTAAGTGGTACTTAGCTCGTGATGCAAAACCTACTATCTTTTCTTCATAAAACCTTGAAATATTACATTTCTAAAATGGGTGCTGTTAGATACCACACGGTATGAAGAATTTCGTTTTAATAATCTTTAGTAAGAATCACCTTGTGGTTCAGCAATAAAACCGCTTATCTGATGACTACCGTTCACATGCACATACAACTAATGAACACCGACTGTAAGGGGTTTTTCTTACTGAATGTGCTGTGTAACCTTAGTACTCAGGCAAAAACGATAGCTCTATGAACCTTAATACAAAGCTGGGAACAAAAACTACTAATTAGAAATTAACTTTACAAAAGTGGCGAGGTATTTATTTCTACACAAAGTCCATCAAACTAAGTAAAGTCCATTGTTGTCTACTTAGGTAGGAAATAAAGTGTTATCAAAGGGATGATGACGATGCTTCGGGGCTCATTATTTCAGGAACTTGGAAATTAGCGCACAGAAAGAGAGAGTATTTTAAAATTATGCAAACTATTTTTCATCTCGATTCCTACCTACTAGAGCGACGTTCTTAAATTTACATAGTAACAAAGAATTATTGTTTACGAATTTGAATTTATCTCCATAACAGGAAGCCGGGATTAGCCGTTGCCATAATCGTACTTATTTAATTCCATAAAATTTTGCATGCTCACAAGAATTGTCAGTGTTAATATTAAGCAGTCATGCACTTCAAACATTAGTTGATGAGCCTGCGCACCTACCTTAATACTGTCAATTACACTGAAGTTGCTAGCACCTTGCCAGTTTTCCTCTGTCTTTAGCCATTTATCGAAATGCCACATAGTGACGCCCCATATCCTGACCGTCGGGTAAGGAACACACAGTCTGACGTGTTATAACCTAAGCAATTGTAAATAAGCCATGTCAACTTAAAAGGCAAAATTAAAAGGCATGGCTTTATAGGATAAAGAGGTTTTAATTTTAGCCCCGCATCCCACGCCTTCAGTTTCGATCGGCCTCCCTGATTAGAAACATAACAAAACCAGACAATACTTCACACTAAATTAATAATCCTATACGTAGAGGACTTAGTATATCGCTATCGCCGTTCCAACTCAGTTATTTAGTGGCCGCGTGGAACCAGAATTTTCGTCTATGACACTCAACATTTGCCTTTATCCAAATGTTCTGAAAAGCATAAAATTCTATTACAATTCCTGCACATCTCTAAAGTATTTCTTCTATTACAGAAACTCCTAATCAAGGCAACTCTCTAAAGTTAAAAACGACGTAGATGCTGCAGGCGACGGACAATCTTACTTCTGTGATTATTATGTTGCCTGCCACGGCTATTTCTTGCTATCAGAAGACCTCATGATATCTCAGTGCTTCGTCTGGTTAAAAACTCATAAGCACTCCCTTTCAATGCTAAGGGGTGTCTATTTCATCAAAGCTACCTTAAATGACTCCTGGCAACTCACACAGGAGTTTTATCCACATGGATAAAATTAGCCAGTAATTGCAAGTACAGCCGAATTAAGTCAGATATAATAACATTTATTTGACTAGGGTGACGTTTTGTGGAGGCAAATTTGCCCATATTTTTATCCATTCACTGGAAAGCAACTATTACGGCAACTTTATTGACGTTTATGTAATAACAATGCACGGTGTCACTGTCCTCACCTGCACTCATGAACAAACCAGAAAGCAAATTACCAAAAATGTCATATCATCTTCTCGGGCAGTTTGGCAGCTAACCTGTTTGCTTCATCATTGCTTCTCAATTTAATTCATAGGGCAAATTCACAGTGCCAAATTTTCGTCTGCACAGCTTTACATCTGCCTTTATCATGCAGTGCTAAATCTCCTGCATTTCAAATGCTATCCATGCACTGAATGAATTTGATTTATATTTTTTTAAATTACGGGCTAAGTTTAACACCTCCGTATGCAACTTCCACCTGGTGTTTCCACCGTTAAAATACTTAGAAGATTAAAGAAGGCCTCTGACAAGACGAGTAAACCTTGGTACAATTTTATGCCTGTTGTGATAGCATAGGTTGCTTTAGTTCTTTTAACAGCTGAATTTTAGACTGCAGTCACACAATTTGCACAAACAGTAAAGAAACCTCAAAATTGTGTTGCATCAAACATTACCGAAACACAGGCCTTAAGGGGCTATAAACTAACGTAATCTGTTAAACATAATTCGCAAACATAGTAATCAGAAGACTCGAGTAGAATGCCCAAGCCCTAATTTGAAGACGACACGTACACCAAAGCAGGTTTTATTCACCAATCACAAACAAGAACCGTTTGTTTGGCACAGTCCATCTTATTCCTAAATTCTAGCTGCGCTGCCCGTCATACAGTGCTTTCCATAGATCATTGTCTCCGGCTGGCTGCTAGTATTTAATCTTTGCCGTATAAACACCCAGAGACAGAGGACTGGCCCTAGTATTAATAATACTGGTACAACAAAACAGGCTTTATAAACCAGTCACAACCCAGAACCAAACATCAGGTGCTGTCCATCCGAGTCCTCCACGCTGGTTGCTCCTCGTACGTGTCTGTCCCTGGTTGGCTAATTATCCTTCTCGCATGCCTTCCGTACGCAAAGAGAAAGAGGACTGGTTAAGGCCAACGTGGTCCTACATGTCTGCGCCCTCAGACATCGCCACTGTAGAATACCCGAGCCCTAATAAGGAAAAGACTGGTACAACAGACAAGGCTTTATTGACCAATCACAAGCCAGAGCCACACTTCAGGCGCCTTCCATCCGAGTCCACCACGTTGGCCACACCGATCATTATATACTGAACCCCATTCGAGTCCTTCTCTGGTTGGCTGCTTACCTTTCTCGCATGCCATTGGAGCGCAGAGAGACAGAGGATTGGCTGAAGCTAGTGTCCAGTATGTCTGCGTCCTGATCCGTCGTCACAACACAGTAGCGACGTATAATGGCACAGACATATTGGACTACCTGGCCTCAGCCAATCCTGTGTCTCTCTGCGTTCCAATGGCATGCGAGAAAGATAAGCAGCCAACCAGAGAAGGTCACGAATGAGGTGCGGCATTTAAATAGTGACGTGGCTAGCGTGGTGCACTCGGATAGAAGGCGCCTGACGTATGGGCCTGGCGTGTGTGTGGTCAATAAAGCCTGTTCTGTTGTACCGTTTTTTTCATACTAGGGCTCGGATAAGCTACACATGGGTGGCGACGTGCTCATTAACAAACAGTGCTTGTCCATATTTATTACCTTATCTCATATTTAGAAAAGCCCACATAAGGTCAGATAAATTCAGATCTGTGCCGTTGAGGGACGTATACATATTGGATCTTGCCAAGCTATTGTGGCGTCGGATTATGGCGCAGACATGTTGGACCACCTGGACTCAGCCAATCCCGTATCTCTCTGCGATCCAATGGCATGCGGGAAAGGAAGGCAGCCAACCAGAATAGGACACGACTGAGGAGCAGTATATAATGAGCGGCGTGGCCAGCGTGGTGGACTCGGATGGAAGGCGCCTGACGTGTGGCTCTGGCTTCTGAATGGTCAATAAAGCCTGTTCTGTTGTACCGGTCTGTTACCTATTAGGGCTCGGGTATTCTACACTAGGTCAGACCTCTGTCTGTGTCTGTTTTAACAGAATGTGGGGTAGAGTATCAGCCAGCCAGAAGCGAGAATGGATAAGGAGCAGTATATGGTGGGTCATGTAGAAATATTGGTAGACTCGGGTGGATGGCGTCTGACGGACGATTCTGGCTTGTGGTCGATTAAAATAATCCCACTCTGTTTTATTCAGCTTCTCTAAACTAGGTCCCGGGTATTTTACGTTAGCGAACGACTTATAAGCACACCAGCAATAGAACATCTCATAATTGCTACCCAATTTATCACTTCGTTCCGAGTTATAGATGCAGCAGACTTGTTACTGAAATAATGTAAAGACGACATGCTGTAAGTCAATATTAATGGATATGCCATCCATTGCATGAGACAGATAAACAATTTGGTTGAAAACAGAAGCTGCATTGCAGAGACTCTGCGTTGAATCCACGCTCTGAGCCGCACACGGTAGTGCAACGCATCCCATTGCCACATCGAGGAAGTGGCACAGCTTGCGCTGATTCGCAGTCACAATAATACAAGTACCCGAAAATACACAAATTCGCCCTTACGAGCATAGCAACGATGCTACGAACAGATGACACGAAAAGATGGCTTAAAGACCTCGACTTCGCATGATTACAAGAGGGCGTCTAAGAAGCGTTGTGGCAGAACACCCCGCACACGAAGACGTAAAGAAATTGAAACTTGGATGGGTAAGGCCTAATCAAACAATCTGCACTCGGGATTCTGCGACGTGATCTCACAGATTTCATGCGTGATTTTAATACTGACACAATTTAGACTGACTCGAAGACCAATAAATTCAAACTAGACGAAGAAGCGTTTTCGATAACTCTAAAAATTGCCCACCAACCCAGGGGTTAAGAGCATAGACGCAAACCGGTAACAGGTGCATTTCGCAAAAAAACCACCAGAACGAAGTAAGTAAATACAAAATGCATGCTCAGATCATCACAGCCAGTAGATAAAAAGGATATGCTCTGGATCATCACGTGACATTTTCTATGCTGGCCCAATCAACTGACGCGAACAGTGGATGCGACTTCACTGATGTGTCAGACAACCGCTCGACAGGATTCAGTTTCAGCAGCTAAAACAAAGGAAGATATCGATGACGAACGGGAATATTTAACATTAGGGTACAAGAGCTCCCGAATAGACAATGCATTCTTCCGCCAATCAATTACGCCGTTACCAACACAACGGCAGTGCAACTAGTTGCCAAGCCTACTCCAAAGGAACCTTGCAGCACACTTGTACAGCAACGAGTTGTAGTTAAAAGCATGACAAGCGTTGTTAGTTCAAACGTCAACATGGCAAAATTTGACTTTTGATGCTGTCCTCTGCGTGTAGTTACGGGTGACAAGCAAGCGTGAGTGCGAAGGTAAGGCGTGAGACAGTGCCAAAACTTATCGCTGAGATGGTGGAATTAGGTGGTCATAAGACCGTCGATTTACTACTAGTGTGACGACAGATGTATCTAAGCTGGGGCCTACCATAACCAAAAGGTTCACTACATCAGACGATAACGTGGGCGGCAATTCCAAAGGCGTCACCGATGAGAGTCCGCTAGGATGGCTCTCGTGGAGTTGCACACCCGTGAAGAGTTCGTAGAGGATCACCCCGACAGACCACCAGTCACAAGCGACGTCCGTCTCCCACGACATTCCACTGAGGAAGTGGCGAGTCAAGGGTCCAAGGAGCACTTCTGGAGAATGGCAGTAGTCGCGGTGTCGGTGTGGTCTGTCGCTACACGTAGGCCACCGAAAGAAGTAGTCAAGCTCGATGTGTCCACCTTGTGCAAGGTATACACGCGAACGAGTTAGGTGCCTGAAACACGATCAAGTTCTTACAGAGACGCAACACGCACAAAACTGCCGATTTGTAAATTGGGGAAAGAGCGAAGGAATTACCTTAATGTGATGTCTCGTGCGTGGAGCCACGACACAACCGACACCAACTCAGCAGCCCACTGAAGAACTCTACGCTCAGGTAGCAAAGGCTCCTCGCGCTGCTTTGACTGGAGGATGTTGTAGTCTACATCATCTGCACCTATCCATTCTGTGAAAAAACAAGTTTTGGCAAAATCTAATTAGTTACTCCTTGGATGCACCTTATGTCTTATTCAAATCGCAATATCTGGGATTCAGAAACCTGCGGATTCATTCAATCTCTGGCAGTTTGGTTAATGTCTTAGTGTCGGCAAAAAATGCAATGCCTAAGCAATGTATACTGACAAGATGAACGCAGCTAATGGCAAATGCGCACAGCAAAGTCAATCGTGTGCAAGATCCTTCTTGAAAGCGCAGATCAAAACTTTAAAAACGAATTTACCGAAGGAAAAATTACCGTTTAAGTCTGTCTTGCACAGGCATCCACGTAATGTACCCTTCTCGTTTGCCGCATTTTGATATCGGTTCACCAATACAGGCAAGATTGCATAGATTGCAACACTACAGGCTAGTTTCAAAGGTGTCTTCCTTTAACCTAACACATTGATTGAAAACACTTTAAAATAGTATTGCCGAACATTTCCGACAAAATGGAACAAAGCTGCACTACACAATCTCACAACAAATGCTGCAAAAATAACAAAAGAGAGACACGATATCGCGCAATGCTAGCCAAGTTTCGTTCCGCCTGTTTGCTATTTTTAATCAAAAAATAAATCCACAAGGCAGATCAGCGACCCAGCTGACTATGTGTTAAATTGAAAGCGCCAGAGAGATAAGCCAACGCTCAAATGCGAAGTACCTTGTGGTGACGAGAGACGATCGGCAGATCGACTGCGTGATCCACGAGTCACTAAACCAGGCGGATACCGGCTCATGAGGGCCTCGAGTGTGACAGAGGAGGAAACGTCAAACATCTCGTCTGACAGGAGTTTCTCGGTAACGGGGCGTTTGGATGGCGAAACAGATGAGCGAAATGCTTCCATCGAAGCATTCAACGACCCAGAGGATCCGCTGAGGAATAACGAAAGGCTATGTGGTTTGATTATAGTGTACGTAATATAAAATGGAAATGCCACCTCAAACCAGCCAAATGCACAACCTGGCAGCGATAAAAAAGCATGGTGGGATAGACAAATTTGTGCGGAACCCTCCGATCGTTCGCTGTTGCCAAGGTAATCCTCAACATCTTACACGCGTGTTAAATAGTTTTACGCGGGAATGTGGTCAAAGTTTTCTAGACTGATACCGCATTCACACCAACGACTTTTGTAACCCTACTATCTTCCGACTCATTTTCTTGGGAAACGTCATTAAGACGCATTAAGAAGAGACACAGTCAGTAGTTGATAAACAGTAAAACCTCAGCAACTGGAAGATTTTGGGCAAAAAGGTAAGCGAACAGCACCTGATTCGGCTGTTGGAGCCTTGAGAGATGGCGTCACTCATGCACCGTGGAGAAGCGCTGTCATCTACAACAAGGATAATTTTGTGCTTAAATACGCTGGTTCTGTTTAGGATCTTCTAAGACACACCGAGAGCACACGTTTTGGCCCAAGCCTGACGTAGGGAATGACGTGTAATCATTCCCACTGTCTTCTCGACATGATAGGGACAGCAGTTGGACGACATTTTCGAACAACACGCTTGGACACAGCTATCGTTTTGGATTGGTGAAGTTAGCCCACGTAGGCGTGCCAAATAATCGAGATAGTTTGGGTTTAAGCTGGATGACATTGATAAGAATCAAAGGTGAACGATTTGACAGGTTGAAAACTACGATTTAGACAACAAAGATTTAGAGTTGTGAGTAAAAATTGTTGGTTTCTTGGTTTGTGACAGCAATTCAATGACCTCGAATGGGGCAACCTTTCAAAATTTGGTGGATAACAATCTTGAGAAAGCCACGCATGATAATAAAACGATAAACGCGATAACGTAGACACAAATTAGAACTTGCAAAGAACCTAACAAGTTTATAAAACAAATAGTAGAATTGACCAACAGTTTGACACGTAGTCGTTTTCTGGCAGCGTTTTTTGGAAGCAGGCAATTTTATCAAGAACAACAAAAACAACACGGTAAACACTACGCTGAATATACTCCCACTGACAGTGAATACTTAGACTATGGCATACACATTATGTTTAAATCTCTTACAAACGCAGCCAACTAAATCAGGACAACACTTACCGATAAATTCCTGCAGGTGAATGAGGGTCATGTGGCGGACTCGAATCGACACCCTCTTGCACCAACTAAGATGTCGCATGGCACTGTTGAGGCCTCGATGTTTGGCAGTCGACATAAGCGAGGCTACTCGACGCTCGAGATACGTGTTTAGCCAATCAACTAAGAGGAGTTCGCCTTTGGTGCGTTCCGTCAGGAAGAAAATCCGGTCTTCTGTTTCGATTAGCCGACGCAAGCGGCACATGAAGGGAACCGACCCCACGGGGAGGATGCAGTCTGCCGCGGGACCGTTCAAGGTCGCTGAACGGATTTGGGGAAAGCTGCCATTGAGGGTCGATGGAGCGCACCGGGACTGAAAAAGCGTGAAGGTTAAAACGAGTGACGAGGAAGTCACTGGCAGTTATCCAGGTCGCAGCGAATTGGAATACCCCACAACTCATGATGTGCACTTATTTCACTGCCGCGTACTTCGGATACCGTAAAACTGGGCACATTTAAGCCCAATTGTGTTGACTAAAGCCCACTATCAGGAGGCTAGTGATCATAAAAGGCCATCACAATAAGGTAAAAGATACAGTTTTCAATTCAGATGCATTTTTGTGTGGTTTTACGATACACAAGACCCTATTCGATTTTATATAACCAAACAAGGCTTACCTTTAGTGAATACCTCACCAAGCTATCAAGACGATCACACACTACAAGGCCTTGTTCTTCTACCTCGCAAATCTTCAGTTTACGTAGTTCATCTGTGGATCCGAATGAAGTCAAAAGCACAGGATCTTGACAAAGTGATGCGAGTTTTGGCGATTTCTAAACCGATCAATAACAAAACTGGGTGCTTACCATCCAAGTATGACAACTTTGATTCTCTTCATTAGTGCACTGAGGAGCGGGACGCGAGAGGTATTCCCCGTGAATAAATTCGGCTTTTGCTAAGCAGGCAGCCAATAAGCATCGATATTCCTCTTTCTTATCTGCACCATTCAACTCCGATTTCAGCTCGGTAGTTAACCCAGAAATCGCGTCTTTGTATAATCGCAAAGCATCAATCCAGCGGCCCTTGAGGGTGCTGTTCTTTGCCGCTTGAATAGACTCTGCAATGTTTGTAGACTGAGATGCATTGCATTCCCAAACCAGCAGTAAAGAGTCACCCTCAAGATCGCTCTCAGTGTCACTAGAAAGAGGGGACGTGAAGTGTTCTGATGCTGTCGCCTTCCTTACTTTCGGCGGCTTCAGGGGCAATTGTTTAGGAGACTGCACGTTTAAAGAGGGCGTCGGTCGAATTTCTTGGGATTTAGACGATTTGTTGTCAAGGGGCAAAAAAGAAAGACCTTGGTTCGATGTTAGATCAACTGAGAGGCCCCCAGCTGCGAATAAGGTGAAGTGAGTGTGGCAGTAGAGGTGATCGTTGGAGGCGATAAATTTAATTAAGCCGTCCAGAGCCTGGCGACGTGTTTCGATCACTGATGGCTGGAAACGGTCTAGTAGAAAAAGCGTATAGAATTAATAAATCAACTTACCGAAATACTTCCCATTCAGTAGTTGGGGGAGCGGTTCTCTGTAGCCAAGGGCTTTGTGAACCGCATTCAGATGATGACGAAGTCTGAGAAAGTCACTGAAACGCTTGAATAACTACAACCATGAAAGGGGTTTAAATATTTTTAAAATACTTGTCTTACAATTATTTCGTCTGAGCCACATGACGACTGTCGTTGAATGACAACCCTGTACACAGTGTATTTTCCACGAGGGTGTAGACATGATCTGTCAACACGAGCCTCAACTTTCGGTTGTTGGTCCATCTAATTAAATTAAAGAAAATTAAGTTAGGATTTATAAATGGCTAAAGTCATCAGTACTTAAGCGGCCAAGGAAGCAGCCGAGAGCGTCCACTTCTTAGATGATCAACAAGGACCCACCATCACATCGGTTCCACAAAAAATTCATCCTACTAAAAACGGTAAATTTCTTTAGTCCATTGTTACGGTAGCGCACAAGTACCCGAGTCAAATAAGCTATTTAACAAGTGACTGTCGACAACCATCACCAAAAAACACAATAATAATTTTTATCGAAGTTTACATAACAACCACGAAAGCAGGACAAAAATCAGTGCAAAAAAAGCCAGGGGCTATTGTGAAATGGGATACTTTAAGAAAATTACTACTGGATTAACGAGCAGAAACTATTCCAAAAAAGGCATGTTTTCGAGGGTAAAAGCCCAGTGAACAGCAAGAACATTTACTATTGGTTTACTGCTAAATACTTTATTTTGGCGCGAAGCGTTTTTATGGGTATTCAATTTTTGTAGGTCAAATTGAGGGGTGCGATGTGGTCAATGGTAGCGATGTTTAGTAATATTTACAAAAACCTCAATACTTGATGTAAATTATGGTCATGTAAGCTTAAAACTCTTGTTAAAATGTAGGTGTTTGCTGATTTTTTGATCCAGATGGAGTGAATGTGACTTAAAACAACAGCGCTTTTTTAAAAGTCGTGTTTGAGGTAGTTGCTCAACACTGGCGATCCTTTTTAGAATTTTTTTGAAGGGTTCTCGCGCCTTTTTAACGTATTCCTTTTTTAAAGCTGAAAATGTTGCTATATTTGTTATATTGTATGGAAAAAATGATCAACATATGTTTCGCACATTGATTTCTGTTTTTCCACATTACCTGTACCACCAATGCCTGTTTTGCGAGAAACCTCTGAAGATGTATACTGTACAATTAGTCGGTTGAGTCGAAGAAAACCGTTCCGTAGATATTAGTCTATATGTCGTGTTATTATGTATAGGTTTTACAGGGAATTCCCATAGTTCATTTAGAGGTCGTTTGGGTAAATTAACGTTTTAAGTATGAATATCCGTCAAATATTTCCTTTTATCTGTCTTACTCTATAAGCCTATACGCGGATAATTCTGAGTCTTTCGTAACTATTATGCTGATTCAAAGAAACCCCTGGGATTGGCCCTTTAAAAGTCATCTCATTATTTTTTTTTTAATTTAGCTAAAAAATGAATGCCCTTAGGCGCTTTGCGAATTCCGTTGCACCTTCTTCCCTGAAACTTTCACGCGTGTTTGCAAGCACTCACTTTGGGTTCCAAACCGTTGATGAGACAGAAAAACAAGCCAAGGTTGACAAAGTTTTTACCGGCGTTGCCACGAAGTATGACCTCATGAACGACGCTATGAGCGCGGGGATACATCGCATTTGGAAAAACTTCTTCGTCCACCGAATTATGCCTACCTCGAACCTTTCTTTCCTCGACGTTTGTGGTGGTACTGGTGATATTGCTCTCCGGATAGCTAAGTTTTCGAAGAATGTGGTCGATGCGTCCGGTAATACGATGCCGAAAATCACCGTCTGTGATATTAACGAAGCAATGATGACGGTTGGTATGGAGAAAGCTAGTCAGGCAGGAATAGCTGGAAGTATATCTGTTCTTTTCTGATTTCCGCTTGTAGTAAATTGGGTCCAGGGAAATGCTGAGTCTCTCCCCTTTGAAGATAACAATTTTGACGTGTACACCGCAGCCTTCGGGATAAGAAACTGCACACATGTGGATAAGGTAAGTGAAGATAGGATTCGTCAGTTGGTTTTTTTAGGTTCTTGAAGAGGCACATCGCGTGCTGAGGCCCGGTGGGCGGTTCTTCTGTCTGGAATTCAGTCGAGTCAACAACTTTGCTCTTCGAAAGTAAGTTGTATGATCTAGGTGTCGGTAGCTTCTCTCTTTGAAGTGGGGTCCTACAGCTGTCTGAATTGTCGCATTGTTAGTTTAATACGTGGAAATAAGATCGGGTGTTTGTGTGGGTGTTTTTTTCGTTATGCTACTTCCCTACAGTGCGTAAATCGCATTACTTTTGAAAATGCGGCCATAAATTTACTATTCGGGCGTCGCCGAATGCATTTGCTGCAACTATCACATTCGAAAGCGTTATCCTTAAGAACCTGTTTTATTCGTTAAGTTCAGTAGCTAATTTCTGTCAAGGTCAAATTCCCATAAGGCTTTATGAGCCTTTTGAATGTAAATAACACTCTTATTTCTCCGTTTTTATGGTATTTCAAGGTGTCCGACTAGCGTGGTTGCTTTTCGTATTCTTGATTTCAGAATCACACGTGATTGTGTCGTCAACACTTATTATCTAAGGCTTCAGAATTAGCTTACAAATAGCTTGCAACGGTTGTCTATAGTTTGATTTTGATATTTCCTTGGTCGATTTTATAGAAACGAACAAGTTATACGTGCTGGTGCCACCCTAAAAGCCCGTGCTATCCATGCTCCCTCTACTTATACCGTGTTCTTTGCCTCACCAGACTCTATGACTTATACTCAATGGAAATAATCCCTGTGATTGGGAAGGTTGTGGCCAACGATTGGCACTCGTACCGCTATCTGGTAGAAAGTATTCGACGCTTTCCTTGCCAGGAGGAGTTCGCGGCTATGATTGAGGATGTGGGCTTCCGTAATGTGCAGTTCACCAACTATACCTTCGGCGTCGCTGCAGTACACATGGGTGTAAAGTAACCAATCGACTACTCTTTCATACCTCCATGTATTCAATCTGTATTTGACCTAGTTTTTTCAAGGTTACGTGCTTTTCATTGGTAGCTCAAATTGATAGACACTTGAAACCAGACACTTCTTGTCTCCTCACGCAAGTTATTACCATTAAAGGTGGTTTATGGGCAAAGCACTTTAATGTACTTTGGTGAATTAAACATTATGGAGTAAAACCCCCTACCATTGGAGTAAATCAATCAACTTTTTGTCCATAAATACAGGCTCTAAATAAGAATTGCCCTTCGAGTCTGTACAAATGTCTACAGTTAAGTGTTCTAGCGGTCCGTGTGTCGCTGACAAAATTCAAGGCACTGAAGGTTGTACAAAGAAGATTCCAGCATATTTAAATAATCCTATTGGAATTTATCTCATTGTATAGCACATTGTGTTGTATTTTTTGTCAAATTTACTGAAATAGATCTGCACGGTTTCCGTGGCCGCAGTCTAGTATGATAGCAGCAAATTAAAAAAAAATGTGACTAGTTTCCTGAAAGCGGTAATGATTTGGTTTCCGAATGACCTGGAACATCTGTTTTTCATGCAACCTCATTCAGCCTTGGCAATATTTGTCAACAGGCACTAATAACTGTGGCCTTACTTAAAACAAGTTCACATTTTCAAAATTTGCGGACAAAAATTAAGTACCGAATAACCCCTAAAAATTTCGTTATAATTGGAATTCAGTTAGGTAAACTAGCATGGACAAATCACCTTTTTTAGTAAACACCCACAAGCAGTATTTCTCAGTAGCAATGTCATCAAAATCGAGGGTGGTCTATTCGCTTTACGCAGCGTCTAGCCGTTCAGAGATAGTAATAACACAACGATTCATGAAAGGGAACTTAAAATGATCCGTCTAAACCCCGTGTAGAATATCCAAGCCTTAATTTGGAAGAGACAAGTGCAAAAAGAGAGACCATTAACACAGAGAAAACGTCTTCCCATCGAGTGCGCTGTGTTGGGTTCGTATTTTACTACCTGGGACCTTGCATCTGGCCTTGTCTCCGGCTGCTGACCCATGAAAACACACAAAGGCAGGGAATTAGCTGAGCTCCCATCGCAAAATGGGACATTTATACTAGTTCCACGGTTGGCTCTTCGCATACATATTGTCGGGCAGAGCTGTAGTGAATTGTGCTCATTCATGTGCAATAACATGGTCGTCGCAGTCCCACAAATGTCTCCCTTTTCACGGCGTGTCCGTCGGTCACGCGGGATCGCCTGCTCATTCATCTCCCGCTTTTTCCACGTGACGATTCAGACGTCTATTTTTATTAGTCCACTCAACTGTATCAATCAGCTCAACATAACTTCGTAGAGGTGTCTGGTAAACCGTCGTGTTTGCCATCTCTGGCCTTATTTCTTCCTTGGGTACTTTGCTTGGTTTAGGGCTTCAAGAGAAATTTGGCCCTAGAACAAAAAATTCAACGATGATCTGACAAGAGGTCTACGCAAACTGACAATGGGTAAGCCAGGGTCTCTCTCCACAAACGAAAATGGGGTCTCCGTCGAAAGAACTTTTGCAAAATATCTGTGGGCACGCACGCGAGGCTAACGTTCGTGCTGTTGGGTGTCATTGTCACACACGGATTAAAGTGCATGCTTTAATTTGGGCCAACAAGTGTGTTAGACACATGAACTGTGCTCGGCCGTGATAGTTTGTTTAAAATAAGTTCAGTTTCGAAAAAGTTGTTTGTGTTTTCGAAACTACGGACACTTGGTTAATACTTACATCCCCAAAAGTAACTTAACGTGAAATAGTCTTACTCCACTACTTCGTAACATTCGTGATTTACGAGACGTAGTTTGATAAAAAAAACGCTCAACTTTGGACGGTATCTTTGTTTTATTTCTGATACAAATGTGGAATAAAAAAGCAATCAGTTCAAGAGTAGTTCTACTACCCAACTGGGATTGGCGACGTTTTGGTGTATCAGCATACCAGGAGTGATGTGTGTGCCGTGGTCTGGGTCTAGCAATTGCAAAGGAAATTCCGTTGACATTACGAAAACTACTTAGACCCATGCGGCTGGTCGGATCCCATCTGCGATAAGCGGCAACATATCCGTCCAACTAGTAGAATCGCTTTGAGTCGTTAGACTTTCATTTGACTGTGGGACCCTACTATGGCGTTTGAATAGAGGCAGCTAGGAGTCATTCGAATGATGCTTCTTTCCGGTAGTCAAGTAGGACTCCTCAGTCCATTGTTTTGATAGGAGGAACTTCGTGTAAGACAATCGATCCGCTGGCAAGAATTTCAGCTATTTATTTTGGCTACGATTTCACGCATCGAAAAGAGCCCTGCTAACAGGTGTAACGGGTCCGAAGACGTCGCTGTGTCTATGGTCAAACCGTCCATCGATGTCGCTGATTCGCGTCAGGGATACATTGCAGTTGAATTAGCTTTGGATATCTCGTAGCGTGTGCGAAATCGGATCCACTGTTGTGTGTCCTCATTCATGGTAGATCACACATAATGGTGCAATGTCACCTTTCCTGATGGTCGTTGATCTCTTTGAAATGGTCCCGGATTGGCTTATTAAAAAATAGACCAGAAACTAGTTCTAATGGTCCGTATGGAGACCAGAGAGGTTAAGTAAGTCGTTCCCCATGATTAGGTGGAGCACTGCAGCGATTTCAATGTTCCAATTTAAATGACATCACAATTCACTAAACCGTTTGCTGTTGATAAAAAGTAGGAGGGGTTTGGCTAAACCCAAATTATCTTGAGCACAGCTTACGTACTGCAGGGTATCATGTGCAAGTTGGATGAGGCGGATGCTTGTTCAGTCTCAAGTTTAGTCGATTTTACTCGTGAAAACATAATTGGCAGTCATGTTCAATAGTCGTACCATCGTTAAATCAGGCAATTGGTACGGTGCACATGTCAAATATAGGATAGTAGATAAACTATGAGAACATAATCACTTGGCTGCAAATGAAAACTGTCTAGCCGTTGTCATGGAAAATTAAATGCCATAAGGATTCTAATGATGTGTTTATTCGATGACTGAAAACAGAATCCTGCTAAGGTTATAATTGCAAACACACTGCAATCATTAATTTTTTTCGTAACTTGTTTGCGATTATAGTCATTTTTTTTTTCAATTTAAGTAGATTTTTTGCAATTTCTTAGGAATTTGTCCTAAGCTTAGCACATATTAAACATAAAATAAAATCCATATGGCGTAAAGTAGTTCTGACCATTTGTAACATCGAAAATTCAGGATCCAATCCTGCAAAATTACCAAACCTGCAATTTAAAAGTGTTTTTCCGGGTAATATATTTCCAGTGATTACAAATTAGTTTTAATAATCAGGTGCACGAAAAATCTTTTGTTTTGAAAGAAAAGTTTGTTTAGATACCAATATGAGTAATATCCCTTGCATTGAATTCCCTTTGTCTTTATTATCGCGTGCGCCCTAAAACCGAGTACGGAAGGTTTGCTTGTAAATCTAACTATTCACTCGAGGTACGCCATGAACATTATATCCTGCCGGAGTGAAGATATTTTAAATTACCTTAAAATAAAATTGTCATAAAATTCATGTTGTTTCCGATAAAAAAATGTGATTTAAATGGACTAGTTTTAATGTTAGGTTAGAGAATAATAGTGCTAATGCATCTCAGATTGAGACATGCAGTAGGCAAATTATCAGATAACGTTTAGCCCTAAGTATTGGGATAGCAACAAAGGGTTATCATAAATTAATGCATTTGCAAATAAGAGATGAATGAAATTGATGGAGATATCGTTGTCTTGTTAGTGAGAAAATATGTTTTGACATTTATAGTACTCATCAGCAGAAAAGAACCAAGTTGAAATATGACATTATTATAATGTTTTAGGACGCAGTCCACATTAACAGAAGAACTGGATTTAACAGGCACATATTTCACCACGCATAAGAGTCTAGAACTTAAAGATATACGTACATTTTAGTGAAAGTTACGGTAATCGGATCTCTACATAACTAGGCTTACTTCAGGGATTTTCATAATTTTTAAGGGCCCTATCCATTTCTCATAGGTTTTGTCTGCTGACAAATAGTAATAAAATCGTTTCTAAGCTATTAGTATTAATCAAAAAAACTCTGACACAACTACACTTAGCGTTGGCTTGGTAGCAAATTTTTGATACGAACAAAATAATTTTGACAAACAACAACATTTTTAGTACATTGTCACCATCCATATAGGTAAAGGTATCGGTGCATAATACATTGATATTGTTTTAATAAGCAAATTTGATCTACCCACGCCTAAGCCACGCGGCGAAATGGGTGAGTGCAAGTTTTCCGTGGTTGCTTGTCCATCGTCCCATGGCTGTGGCACCGGTTGTGAAAGCGAGTTTCTGTTGCCGCCTTCCTTTGAAGCTGTGGAATGTGAGTTAAGGTCCATGCATTGCATGAACGTCGGCGGTGCAAAAGAAACTTATAGGTAAGTGATATTGTAAAAACCCCGAAATCCTCCTTGCTCTAGCTTTCAGTGTTTGTGAAGTGATTTTTGTTTTTCATCCATTTCTTTTGCCATCCACGAAATCTTTTATTCTGCTATTCATGACACATGTCCGCAACTTTCTTTTTGTGTAATTTGTTTCAGCTTTTCTTCCGGGTAGTGGGGCTGTCTGTGTGTTCACCACATTCTCCCTGCTGTTTTTACGCGATTAACTTATCTGGTGTCGAATCAGCACGTCTGTTAACAGGTCAATTACCGTTTTTCAGAACCTACCTTGCCTTTAAAGATGAAGACCAGCTTTCATACCAACCAGGTGATAGTGTCTCAATTTTTGTACAGAATGACGAAGCGGATGTGTCGTGGCTTCTAAAACGAATGAATGGCGATTTTACGCCCGATCAGATGATAATGCTCAAGCAGGGTTCCTGTCGGAGGGCTCCTTCAATAGCCCTCCCGTTAGAGACGCCCGTTACTCCAAGGCTCCTTTTGCGGCATTATATAGAAATTCATTCGACCGCCTCAAGAAAGACAACCCGAATTCTTGCCGGCTTCTGCGCCAACGAGGAAGAAAAAGCTCTCCTCCTCAGATTAAGTGGTCGTGAAGGCATGAAACTTTATGATGCGTCAGTTTTGTTTTTGTGGCATCTGCGGTCGCAGCTTGATTTTTACAATAACTCGCTCTGGTTACTTCGTCTATTTTAGTCTAATAAAAGCAACGTCAGCTACACTAATGGATTTGTTGGAAACATTTCCAAGCTGTCGTCCAAGTTTAGAGGCGGTGCTCGAGTTAGCACCTCCGTTGGCCAGAAGGCCGTATTCACTTGTCGGTGAATGCCGCAAAGGGTCTGCCCAGGAAATAAGCTTCGCGTTTACGATGATTGACTTCACAAGGGAGCTTGAAACCAGTCCTATTTCTGTTGATGGAGTCACTTTCAAACGATACAGGCGCCGAACTGGCGTCGCCACCGGACACCTACGTCGGTTATGGGATGAGAAACTAAGTACCGGCTCGAGTCCCGGCCTTTTCGTTTCACTTTTTCCAAATCACAATGGTTTTTCTCATCCATCCAACGTCAGTGATCCATTAATACTTATATGTGCTGGCACGGGGGTCGCTCCCTTCATTGGATTTTTACAACTTCGACGTCGTTTGAGGGAATCTGTGGGTTAGAACCTCAATTTTGTCAACGCCATATCTTGCCATTTGTTTTCAATTTTTGTCTTTCTTGTCGTAGGCTCTTGCTGCTGGGGAATCCTGGCTAATATTTGGTTGCCGTGATCCGAACTTTGACGTTTTGTTCGCTGATGAATTGGCTGATTTTCTGGAAGACGGAACCCTAACACATCTCTGTCTCTGCTTTTCTCGTTTTACGGGTGACCTACCCATCTGTCTTCCTGAGATAATTCGATCAAAAGCATACGTGCCACCGGGGTGCAGATACGTCCAGGACTGCATTACTTTTCCGAACAAACCAGCTGTCTCAATTGACGATTCCACGTCCATTTCGAAGATTTCCGATCGACTTGCGGACGTCCATCTTTCCACACCTGCTGTTTCTTCTCCGTCAAGGTTGCTCCATTTAGTATGCAACCTGAACGGTCACATCCGGGTAGGTTTTTTGCCCCTTCAGCTGAATAATGCGGGCTTGTCATCGTGTCCTTCAGTTCTTTCATCCGCCGTTGGCAGACGTGTTAGTAGTTTAAAGGTGTACTTATACTTGGTGGCCAGGTTTTGTTCCACGTGTTCGGCAGTAGCCTCTGTCCAGAACCGTTGACCACTTGAAATCGTCCATTGTAAGCAGCCGGGTCAGTTTTCTTTGGTTCGGCGTTCAAACGATGGGAAATCGAGAGGACGAGGCCTACTGCCTTCTCCGAACAAATTACCATTCAAACATTTCAAATGCTCACTCAGAGGACTTATATCGTTCCAAATTTTAAAAATATGCCTTCTTATTTTGTCATACCAGGTGCTCCAATTGTGGCCAGTGTAAGGAGATGCCTTTTGTGGTGTAATATTGATCGCCTCATGTCCGGCTACCGCTAACCTTTTTCAACAGCCTCTATTAAAAAGCTCTAGAGGTGGATTAGTGGCTTGAAGAAGTCGGCGAAGTAAATGTAGTTAAGTTATTTAAGTTGTTTTTCAAGTTCAATAATAAGCCTTGGTCTCATAAACTTGTCCATTGTAAGCAGCCAGGTCAGTTTTTGTGGTTCGGCGTTCAAACGATGGGAAATCGATAGGTCTAGGTCCATGGTCTTTTCCTAACATCTTCAATCACTAATCGGATGGGTTACTTTGGTAAATTTCGCCTGTGCTCACGTACCTGAATGATCGAATGCTCAATTTATGACGTTTTAGTGAAACCAGATAGTCTCTGCATTGTACTATGAGTTAGCATCGTGGTGTGTTCTCTTTTCAGGTCTGCGGTGACGCCAAGGGCATGGCCCCAGCTGTAGCATCCGCCTGGGAAACTGCGTTTGCGTCGTGGCTAGAATCACAAGAAGCTGCTGAATTAACCTCAGGCCCAAAGACGGGAGCGGAATTTCTCGCCCACCTTCGTAAAGAGAGGCGCTACGTAGAAGATGTTTGGTGGTAGCAATCTCATCTTATTCTCCAATAACAGAGCATAATTTTTTTTGTGATATTTGCAATAAACCTATTACTATAATTGTGATATGTTTGTGTAGAATTTGGAGCCTGTTTAAAGCCTAGAGGGTTGATAAAGGGGTTTTGATAGGCGAAGAAATCAATCAAGAGGAAGACTTGATGGCCTTGATCGGTGACTAGCCGCAACTTAGCATTCCTCTACACGGCGCGGGGAACGCAGCTGTGAGGTCGTGCGGCGACCTGAGCCTCCCCTACAAGGCGAAAAAACTGCTTATTGCGGAATCGCGATGAAGATTTAGACTGTGGGGCTGCGCCAGATTAAAGTGTCATCTATGCGATCTGAAGACTGCAAAAAGATCGGCCAGTTTTCAACAACTCACGAGTAGCCGGATTGTCGGTACGTTCCCCCGCCGGAGCGCATGTCCGCCGACATTCGTTCCCTCTCAAATCGCTCTGTCGACAGGCTTCGTGAAAGGCGAGAGGCCTCTTTTTCCGTCTCGGCAAGACGTTCGTACAGTCTCGCGGCCTCGCGTTGGTGTGCGTCCACTCTCTCCTCGGCCATGACCGCTCGTTCTCTCAACAAAATCACCTCATTCGTTCTTTCCTGTGATAAAAAGAAATACATGCTGGCTATTTGTGGCATTGATCGTGCAGTGCAATCTGAATGAGCATATTTTTAGGGGCATGACTTAATCTGGAAATTATATTTGGAAATTATATTTGGAAAAGAGGCATTTTTCGGTCTTCAGTGGTTTTGAAATGACCGGACACCGAACGACAAGTCGACGCGAGTTAACCACCCCTCATAATTGCAGAATTTGTGATGGCAACTGATAAACAGCACATTCTATGGAATTCCAACAAGGAGGAAGTGCTTCTAGAGCACGGAAGTCAATTTGTAGCGTTGGTTGTGCCGAAATTGTCTTACGAAAAGTAAAATTAACGGCACAGACATGTTGGAAGTCAAGATTTTAATCTTGGTGACCAGCCACTACACGGACAGCTGCCTTGAAAGTTTGAAAATGCCGAATTGCAAGCTCCACTGGATGATGACTCGACGCACATGCACCAAGAGTCACCCGCACAACTATTTCCAAGCGTTTGCACCAAGTGGGAAAAGTGCAAAAACTTGGAAAGTCCCCCTATGTACTCGGTGTGATGTGAAGGATGTACTTGACTACAAACTCCTGGAAATTGGTCGCCAGACGGTGATTACGGAACGCCTCAACCGACAACTGAACAAGCTGAGTGAATAACGCGACCAGAAGAGGCCATTTGCTTGATAAGGGAGCGTGCAAGTAGTACTGTAGCCGCATGATAACGCTCGACCTCACGTTGCTCGCCCGACACAGAAGGCTATTGAAATTGGGACAGGATGTTAAGGGTATTCTTTACTACAAACTCCTGATAACTGATCAGACACAGACTGTGGAACACGACAGGCGACAGCCGAACAAACTGAGTGAATAACGTGATCAGAAGAGGCCAATTGCTTGACAAGGGAACATGCCGGTCGTAGTGCAGGTGCATGACGACGATCGACCGCCTCACGTTACACACGCGACTCTGAAGACCCTCTTGAAAGTGGGATTGGAAGCTCCTCCCACACGCGGAATATTCACCAGACACGGCCCCATCCGACTACCATATGTGCCGGGCAATGCAGCGGCGCGCGTTAATGGGTGAACAGTTCAAAATGCTGCACAATGTGCGTAAATTCGTCGTCGACTACTTTACTGCCTCGGAGCCTGAAGATTTCTCTCTCGACGGCATTCGTAAGTTACCTCAGAGTTGGCGCAATATTTCCAAGACTAGGTTGGTTGTTCTTA